TTTTAAAAATATATATATATGATTTTAGGAGTTTGGTCTCGTCCTTGTCTCCTCTCCACCGACGGCCCAATAACCGTCAGCACTCTGAACACCGCAACGAAAGGGTCAGTGAGCTGATCTCGCAAAGACGATATCTGTATTTCTTTGCCCTTCCCTGCAGACTCTCAAACTGTTGGTTTTTTCCTCAGCCACTCGAATTTGCTGTGTTGAGTCAAGAAAACCTAATTACCTACCTTCAGTGATTGAAAAAACAAAGAACAAGACATATAAATGAATGTGCAGAAATAAGGCTAGTAAATGATAATCAGATCGGATGCTTACATATTATTGCGTAGATTGTCTTCTATTAACATAAGCTATGGGTTACGTCGCGAAAAGTAGTCAATGGGAATTAACCTACTGTGATTACGCATGATGTATGCAAATGAACATCCATCCATCCATTAACTATACCTACTACAGCTCTAGCTCTAACATACAACACAACAACAAGACGTACGTACCTTTTTCCAAGAAGTCTAATCTACTTATCTATCTATCTATCTATCTATCTCTCTATCTATCTATTTCGTCTTGTATTTCTACCCCCACCCCTTCACCTCCTTAGCCCCTCCTCTGGGCTCCTGACTCTTTCTGCAGCCTTTCTACTGCTACTCCTTGGCTCCTTCTTACTGCTGTCTTTCAGCCACATCCCTGATCTTCTGGTAGGAAATATGTGCACCAAGTCTTCTCGGACAAGGGCGAAAAATCTCGGAGGGCCCGTGCGCACGTTAAAGATCCCTTGGTGGTCTAAAATCGATAACAGTAGGCTTCGGCCGCTACCCGGGCAAAATTCAAAATTTCCTACCAACTGAAGAAGTTAAATGTGTCCCGCGCGCTCATATGACCTTATGCAGTTGCGAGCGCCGTAACACACTTACCCAAAACAACAACAGCAACAAAAAACAAACAAAAAACCAACTCAACAAGACGTAATGTACCTTGTTCCCGGCGTCCAGGAAGTCCTGTCCAAAAGCGTTCAGAGCCCCTCCGCCGCTCATGTCTTGGTGACCCACGGTGAAGAACGGCACGTTGGAGGATCCACAAGGGTTGGGGACTCTCATGCCGTTGGGAATCTCGTCGATGAACTCTGGGAGTGCGGACGTGAGGGTGCACAGCATGGCGGCGGCCAGGAACACGCCCAAGGCTTTGGTCAGCATCATATCTTTCACATGCGGCTAGCAGCAGCCCGTCAGTCAGAAGCTGATTGGCTGTGGGTAAGCTAGTGGTGCTCTGATTGGCTGTGGTAGGCCAGTGGTGAATATTGTGTTGGGCCTATGATTCCAGTTTTAGCAGTTCGGAAACTTCTGAAACAGTGCTGTAAATATATGAAGCCTAATCTACCTATTCCAGTAAGGAGCTGTGGTGGCCGA